ATGGAGGGGTGCATACCCTGGACTTCCCTGCTCCTCCCATACATCTTGGTGTCAAACACATTTTATTTCCTCACGTCTGGGGACTTGGGGGCTTCCCCTCCAGGATTACTTCCTCCTCCGTTTGTTTTCCAGCTGGAGACTCTAGGAGCCCCACGGCAGGGGGTGGCTCCTTTGCTATGGCCTAGGAGGCTTCAAAGGGCCCAGAGTGGAATGCCAGCTGGGAGAAGGGGAACTTTACCAGCCCAAGGTATGGGGGCTCCAGATGGGGTCCCCCACTCATTTTCAAGTTGCCTACCCCTACCCACTTGGCTGAAAGGCTGTATCTATGGGCAGAAGGTGACTTCAAAGGTCAGGAATGGGGACTCCCAGCTACCCCCTCCCCCGGGGGCTCAAAGGGGGCCAGGAAATGCCCCCCCATGATGGATTAGGTGCCTAAGAGCCATGGCAAGCTCATGGACGCGGGACCTTCTCCCTTTTCATGGGGCTCGAATTTCACGATTTTGGGAGGGATGAGGGGGGTGAAATAATTAGTAATTTGTGATTAAGTCTTTTCATGGATATTTTGTTTCTTTGTTCTGTGATGTCGCCTGGAGCCATTTAAAAAATGACTTAATGACCAAAAATAATAATAATTGCTCTTTGTAACTAATGACTGTGTCAGAACTTGGAAATCACCAAAGCCTCCGAAAGTAGAAACTGAGACTTGGACTGGGGCGGGGGCTGCCGCTTTCCAAGGAACCGGATCAGCAATCGTAAAGTGGCCCAGGATCCATTTATACCCGGATGCCCCCTGACCTCCTCTGCAGCCAGCTAGCACCCCATGCTTCCCTTCAGCCTGGAGGTTGCAGGCCTCAGTCCCTTAGGACACTTTAGCCCTGAGTGGCAGAGATCAGAACACCCAAGGCTAGCTCCAAAGGTCCCAGCTTAGCGTAGCCTTGGAGTTACTCCCTCCTCCATAAACACCTCCTGAAGAGATAATTCTCCAGCTCAGAGTGGAGAGAAGGGATGGTTGTGCCCTTTTCTCTCCATTTCTGCAGCCTCACAGGGAGCCCCACATTCTCCCTAGTATCTGAATTCTTCTGGATCTTTTAAAAAAAATATTCAGTTGTCAAATAAAAATGGAATACATTTGATTCCATTTTGATAGACTCTTCTGGATTGATTTTACTCTTGTCTTCTTAGGTTGGGTGCTCCCTGGGGCAGATGGAAAGCCTTCTTCCTCCTTCAGACACTCCTGCCCCTCCTGTCCTTCAAGGCGAGAGGTGAGGGGACTCTGATCTACAGCTCCTTGGGCTGCCCCTTGTAGAGCTCTGGGTCCCTAGGCTGCAGTCTTCCAGGGCCTAGGCCCCAAGGATTCAGCACAGCTCCCTGCCTCCTGCCACCCCCAGCACCTCCCACAGCCCCTGGGGAATGGGCCGGGAGATGGGGAATTGCTCACGCAGCAGATTCCACTCCTGTTCCCTTCCCGGCCCTCGCTCAGATCTCTCCCAGGGGGAAAAGCTGGGGGGGAAAAACCCGTTAACTTGTGCCTTCTATTTGGTTTTCCTCTGGTTATTGTTTAAAATGCAGAGATTATGAGGTCAAACTCTCCCAGCCAATATTTTTCTAATGAAAAATGTAGTAAGGCACGACTGAGTAATCTAATCTATAAGTTAAGCGTTCCACACAGCAGCGATTTTCACCGACAGAACTTCAATAAATCTTGTTTTGAGAAAAATGATATGAGGCTGATGTTCTATTTTTGTCAATTTGAATGGACTCCCCTGCCCCCCAGTCCCCAGAAACACTGCATTGCACCCAGTCAATCTCCTCCTCCCATCCCCCAGAGCTGGTAGGATAAAGGGGACAAAAGATGATAAGGCAGAGGCCTGAGTTCTGATCTAGCTTGACTCCAGAGGGTCTGGGGCCAAGAGACCTGTGCTCCAGCCTACCTGCTCTCTGTGGCTCTCATCCTAGTCAGGGCAGTCAATGAAAGGATTGGGGTCCTGATGTCTACTTCCCTAGCCATAGGATCCGGATGGCCCAGTCAAGTTTGCCTTGCCCACCTGTCTCAAGGCTGAGCAAAGACCAAATAACAGGCCTGACACCTTCCCTAAACCCCCAACAAGCCATTGATAGATTTGGCTAGAAAAGCCCCACTTTTCAGAATTCTTTAAGTCAATCCTTAAAGCTGCTGCTGCCCCTGTGGCCTGACTTGAATACGGTGGAGGAGACCTAATGTGCTAAAACCCTGGCCTCCAGAAAAGGGTGTGTGTGTGTGTGTGTGTGTGTGTGTGTGTGAACCTGAACATACCTGTGTGCAGGGATCTGGGAGGGAAGTAGGGCTCTCCTGATGGACATGTGGGGCATAAAGCCCTCATGGGTAATGGCTGCCAAGACTAAAATCCAGAAAGATATTTCGAGCCCAGGGAATCTGTGGGAGGCCGGGAAAAAGAATATGGAGAGGCTGTTTAAAGAAACTGGAGAAGCTGTAAGGGCAGCCAAAAAGGATTACAGCACCTCATCAGAGAGAAATCAATTAGGAGAGGTTTCAAAATGAGGAGTTCCTTTTCCCTCCTCCCCACGGCAAGCCAGCAAGGGGAAGGCATTAGCAAACACAAGTGCCTCCAGTAAGAGGCTGTGGTACATGGAGACCTTGGGGGGTTTGGAAGAGCTAGAGGCTGCCTTAGTCTGAAACCTGCAGGTATAGAAAAACCAAGAAAGGGGGACCTTGTTCTTCAGGGCCAGAAGAGCTGAAGATAGAGGAAGGAGAGCTGGAGTTGTGATTATGCAGTTCAGGGACCCAAACTCTGACATGACCAATCTGACTCAGGCTTCTGTTTTTTCACCGGAAAAAAATAAGAAAAATAAAACCAGTCCTACTTACGTAAGGAAAATAAGACCTCTCATTGCTTAGAGTATTGCACAAGCTGAGCTTTTGATAGAATTGTCACTGCATGGGGCTAGGGTTGTGGCTTAGTGGTTGAGTGCTCGCCTAGCATGTGTGAGGCACTGGGTTCAATTTTCAGCACCACATAAACATAAATAAAATAAAGGTTCTGTGTCCATCTAAAACTTAAAGAAAAAAAAAAAAGAATTGTCACTGCATTGAGCTGGGAAAGGAGATCTAGGAACAACACTCAAAGCCTCATAAGTTTTCCAAGTCAAGAGAAATGGAGCAGTGAGGCTGAGCACCTGTCACTGACCTGTCTCTGAGGTCTGTAGAGATTTTCTCAGGGAGTAAATTGGTATGCTTCAATCAATGCCCCGGTGTGCCAAGGATCAACAACATGGAGATGATTCTGCAAAAGGCTTTGTGTGCCTGGAGATGAGCAATTGAGACAGGGACCTGAGGCTATGAAAAAGTTCTAGAAGAGTTCTTTTTTTGCAGTGCTAGTGATGAAACCCAGGGCCTCATGCATGCTAGGCAAGTACTCTGCCACTGAGCTACACCCCCAGCCCAGAAAGGAGGAGTTCTTTAGAAAAAAGGAGAAGAGCAGTGGCCACTGTATTTGCTGAATCAAGTCCAGGTACCAGGGGTCTCTTTCTTCCAGGCTTTGCTTATCCTTCCTCCCCCAGATATCATTGCAGGAACCATTCTGAGGCTTCTAGAAACTTCCCAGATGGGGAGAGGAGAAACTCACCAGGCAAGGAGAGGAGACAGCGTAATAATTTCGTGCATGCCTAGGGTGGGTAGGTGAACCCAAAGTGAAGATTCCCCTACAATTCTTCTGTGTTTGAGTGTGGAAAGTGGGTACAGCAGGGCCTAGTCCCAGCTGAAGGGGTCTGCCTCTGGATGAGCCTGAGATCCCCAGTGTCCTGGCCTGGCCCTCCTCTTGACCAGAGAGGTCCTAAGCTCCTGGCTAGAGCAGTAGCTGTAATTATAGCTCTGTAGACTGTGTACTAGGAACATTTGAAAATTGGCAAAGGTGGGGGACTGCGGTGGAAGAAAAGAGGAACTTGTGGACTTGATAGTAACTCCAATTAAAAATAAGATTTTTAAAGAACTTTTAATCACACAGGAACATTTTTAGAATATAAGAAGGAAAAAAAATTGAAGTCAGGCATGGTGGTACATGCCTGTGATCTTAGCTACTCCTAGCTACTTGGGAGACTGAGGCAGTAGGATCAAAGTTCAAGGCTAGCTATGGAGACCCTATCTCAAAACAAAAACAAGAAAGGCTAGCGATGTAGCTCAGTGGTAAAGTATCCCTGGGTTCAATCTCCAAACCCTCCCCCCTCCAAAAAAAAGACTGGAATAAGTCTAGCAAAATATAGACAGTATATATTTTTCTGAAATCAACATTTATATTTTTAATTAGGAAATTATGAAAGCAATTAAGAGGATGACTCTGGGATTGAGCTGATACCCAATATGTAGACCCAGAGCTTTTGCAGACCCCAGGCCTGCAGCCTACTCCCCAGTTCACTTTGGTGATCCCTGGCTGGCCCCTTGGTGGCAGACCACGAGAGGAGGAGGGAGGCCAGCAGCTGGAATTCAGCTGTGCCTGGAGACAATCCGTGTCCAATGAGAGATGGGGGCTCCTTTCTGATCTGGATGAGGGCCAAACTGAGGGACTGACTGCCAAGCTATAACCTGGAGTCCGGTGTTCCCAGCTCCTCCCCAATCTCTGCTCCTGAAAGGAAGGTAGAAAGCCCAGAGTCAGCTTCTACCCAAAGAATGTCTACTCCCTACCCCAGCAACTGGTTCTGACCAGCAGATATAGGAGAGTGGGTGAGACTCCTCCAACCTAGTTCTGAGGTTCAGTGAGGTTTTGTGGAGATATATTCAAGCCTATGTGTTCCCCTTCCCCCTCCTGCCCAAGGCTCCCAGCCAGGGACTCTCTTGGGGGGGAAGAAGGTAGCTGACAGAGCTGAAAGGGGAACCCACAGGATCAGGTCAAAGATTTCACACCAAGCAACCTCTGTTAATGCCAGCTGGGGGGGTAGTTAAAATATGGCTAAGAAATTCTAGCCCACCTTCAACTATTCAGCCATGTTAAAGAAAAAAACTACACATATAAAGGGGTTTTTAGACTATTTATTTATGAGTATGTGTCAAAGTTTTATTTCAGTCTTGCTGCAAGTACAGAGACCTATAAGAGGCCAATTTAAGATTACCTCTTGGGAGACACACTTAGAGGAAAGAAAAGGAATTAGACTCGTTAAAGTGGACATATAAAACAAATGTCTGGATAAAATTCATCAAACTCTTATAATCAGAAAGGTAGTGGGAAACTCGTTTCTAAGAAAAAAATTTGAATTTCATTAAAAGTTTATCAGAAAAATTACTTTAGCATTTTTACCAAAAATGCTAATTTCTGGGCTGTGACCATGGCTCAGCAGTAGAGTGCTTGCTTACCATGCGTGAGGCACTAGGTTCAATTCTTGGCACCACATAAAAATAAAATAAAGGTTATTGTGTCCACCTACAACTGAAAAAAAAACCCAAATATTAAAAAAATGCTAATTTCCTCCCAGAGGAAATAATGGATTTTACTTGGTACCAAGGCCCTGTCCCAGACAAATTTGGGATTCTTTTGTCTTCAGTAGAAAATTCTGCCTCAGGGCTGGGGTTGTGACTCAGTGGTAGAGTGCTCACCTAACATGTGTGAGGCCCTAGGTTCAATCTTCAGCACCACATTTAAAAAATATAAATAAATAAATAAAGGTATTTTATCTAACTACACCTAAAAAATAAATATTAAAAAAAAAAGACAATTCTGCCTCAGCTTCTGATCCAGGGAAGAGGCTCAAGCACAAAGCAATTAATATGCAAATTTTAGGTTCATGTGTGCCCAAGCCTGTGTCAGACACCAAGAGGACAGCAGGACAGTGGGCAGAAGGTGCAGGAAGCTGAATTGTCTCCAGACAAAGGGTTCTTGATACAAGAATCTGTCCACGCCAGTGTCTCCAGAAGTTTCTAGTCCCCTTGTGTTGGAGGTAAGCAAGACCTCAGAGGAGATAGGCAGCTTCTATTTCAGAGCTGTTTATCCAAGAGTGGCACCTGGACCTCTGGCAGGATTCCAGATGATTTTCGATGGTGCTTGACAAGATGTTAAATCACACTGAATCTCACAGTGAGAAAGTTTTTTCCCTGTCAATTCTCTATCCCTTTTTTTTCTTCCATCGGAACCTGGGTTCACAGAACAGGATTAATCAAATTCTTCAATTCATGGGACACTTTATTATTATAGATTTAGTGAGTCTTCTTTATTATTTGTTTAAAAATAATATTATAAGCATGCCACGATTTTATCACCCAAAATGATATCTTGAGTCTTGACAATAACTGACAACTGAACAAGTGGTCCCCCAAAGTATTCCCTACCTCTAACCAGAGGCAACTGGCATCCTGAATCCAATGTTAATCATACCTTTGATTTCATTTTAATAATTTTTGTACTTATTTTTAAATTATATTCTAAATTTTAACTTTTATTCTTTTTTAAATGGTATCAACTATAATTCCAGCTACCCAAGAGGTTGAGGAGGAAGATCACAAGTTTAAGAGCAGCCTGGGCAATTTAGCAAGACTCTGTCTCAAAAAATAAAAAGGATGGGGAATGTAGCTCAGTGGTAAAGCACCCTGGTTCAATCCCTAGTACTGGTGTGGAAAAAGTATCAGGTTGCATGTAACTTTTTTGACTTGCTGTTTCACATAATATATTATATTACTAAGAGTCATTCATATTGTTGCATGTCACATAAGTTCTTTTGTTTTGACTACAGTATAATATTCTGAGGTCCAGGCTATTGTAAAAAATAATACTTTGCATATGCCCAAATCATTGTAGCATTATTTGTAGTATCCAAAAGGTAGAAGCAACCCAAGCACGCAGCAGGAGATTAGTAGATGAACCAAATGTGGTGAATACATACAATGGAAGGTTATTTAGCCTTAAAAAGAAAGGAAATTCTGGCACATGCTACAACATGAATAACTCTTGGGAACATTATGTAAAGTAAAATAAGCCTGTCACATATAGGATTTGTCAAAGGGCAAATACTATATGAGTCTATTTATACCAGGTTCCTAGAATAATCAAATTCACAGACCAAAGTAGAATGGTGGTAGCCAGGGGCTGACGTGGGAGCAGAATGGGATTATCATTTCATGGGTACAGAACTTTGGTTTGGGGAGACAAAAAGTGTTCTGGAGACAGAAGGTGTGATGGCTGCATGACAGCGTGAATGTGATTAATGCCAAGAATTGTACACTTAAAAATTGTTAACATGGAGCTGGACACACCTGTAATCTCAGCTATTCCAGAGACTGAGGTAGGATGATCACAAGTTTGAGGTCAGCTTGGGCAACATAGCGAGATCTCTATCTCAGGGGGGAAAGAATCTTTTTGTTAACATGATAAAATTTTATGGTGTGTGTGTGTGTGTGTGTGTGTGTATATATATATATGTTGTTGTTGTTGTTGTTGTTGTTGTTGTTGTTCTGGAGATTGAACCCAGGCCCTGGCACATGTTAGGCAAGTGCTCTACCTACTGAGCTACATCCTCAGCCCTACAGTATATGTATTTTATCACAATAAAAAAGATATTACTTTCCCACTAATTGGCATTTGGGTTGTCTGATTCTTCTAGGTGTTTTTCAAAGAGAATGCCTCAGTTTGGTGCTACTGTATCTTTAAAACCTTTCTAACTTGTTTCTCTTTCCATTTTTAACAAAGAAAGAGAAGGTCTTAACCTCAAGAGTTCTCAGCAGACTAGAATCAAAAAACATTGTTTTTATTTTATTTCTTTTTATAATTACTTTCTCTTTTTTGGTAAATGAAAGTTGATTTTTCTATTACTATAGTGCTACAAAGTATTTTTAAAATAAACATACTTGAGCAAAAATAGTACTTTGATTTAAAGAAAAATATTGAGTCAAAAACATGATAGAAGGAATATGGATGAGGTATGAGCCATGAAGCGGCTACTTGATGCTAGAGTTTGGTAAACATAATAGAGGTTGCTCAGACTCAGACTTGAATCAGTGATCTCTGTGGTCCTTTCAAGGTTAACTGTCACAGGACTGGGGACTTTCCTAGCCTGCACGAGGCCTGGGTTTGATCCCCAGCACTGCAAAAACAAACAAATAAGGTTAACAGTTTCTGATATTTTGGATATACCAAGAGTGCAAGTCACAGGAGCTCAGGAAGGGTTGAATCATCAGGACAGGCTTTGTGTAAGAACTGGGACATGATCTTGGTTCTATAGGACAAGTAGAACTTAAGAGAAGATAAAGAAAATGAGAGTGAGTTCTTCCACATAGAGAGAATGGCATGAAGGTGAAGCTCATCAAGGTATGTTTATGGGCTGCTGAGCCTGCTTGATGAAAACAAAGGATAGCGATAGAAAGTAAAGAAAATGAATTTGGAAAGTCTGAGAAATCCAAGGAGAGGAATTTAGTTTGTGAGGTCATAGGGAGCCACAGAAAGTTCTCGAGCAGATAAGTGACATTCTGAAAGGACTCAGATTAAATAGATAGAACCTGTTTTTTGAGGATAATTCTCTCCTTCTCTGGACTGAGGCTGCTGATTAGTTCATTCTTCTCTCAAATATTTGTCAAAGACACTGCCTATAGATTCAGCAATATACAAAAACATACCCCACATTCTACAGTCCTTTAGTGGGCAAGCCAGACCTTAAATGAACTAATCACATCACCATGTAAGAAGGTGTTCCTGGTTCATACAGCAGGGGGAGGTTACCTGGCTTAGGAGTGGAGGCAAGGCTGTTCTGAGGTGACATCTGAACTGATATTGGAAGGATAAGAAAGAGTTAGATGTATGGGGAGAAGAGAAAAACATTTCAGAACCAGCAAAGCAGGACCCAAAGCCTTGTGGCCTGCAGAGGAGGCCTGGAGAGCCCCAGGAGTGGAAAGTCCATGAAGAAGGTACTTAGGAGTGGGTCTCAGGGAGTGCAGAAAAATGTGGCAAGCAAGGAGAGGCTAGGAGGTCTGCAGAGGCCACAGCACAATGGAGCCCAGCAGGTTTTAGATGATTTTGTCCTTTATCCTAAAAGAGAATTGTATCATGGATCTGTGGATCTGGGATGTGAGCGGAACAGTGTTCTGAAAACAAATGTTCTGGAGGGCAAGCTGATTGTGAGTGATTTTCTTAGAGGCCAGCCCTGGAACTTTCCATTCCCCCCCCCCTTATTAGAAGCCTAAAATGAGAGTGCAGAAGCCCTGGGGGGACTGGAGAGGTGGTGGAGAAATGGCAAACGGGGAGGGACTGGTCGTTAGGATCGGGTAAGTTGAGGAGGTGGGCCAAAGGGAATTTGCATGACAGGGGGGGCACGTGGAGTGGACCCAGGAGAAGGATGCTGCTGGCAGCCTGGAGAAAGGCGGGGTGGGGGGGTTGGAGAAGGCCAACTAAAATCACTAGCACAGGCAAAAAAACTATAGCAGTGACAGAGTTTGCCCAGGAGAGGGCTCCACCTTGGGAAAATGGCTGAATCACAATTACTCACATGATCTCTGAGGTTCCCGGGAGAAAAAATTACCAAGACAGGGCCTTGGGAGAAACACTGCCATGGCGAAGGGGGGGGGAAGGGAGCCTGAAGGCAGGCTGAATGGTGATATTTGAGCAGACCCAGGGGGCCAGGGAGAGCAAAGAGCTGCAGGGTTTATGATCAAAGACAGAGGTGCCTGCCTGGGAGGTGCCGGAGATCCCAGCTCACCAGTCCTCAGGTGACACTACCATGTGTAATTCTCCTGGTGTGACTTGAGGATGGAAAGAGAAAGCAGGTGGGACCTTGACCAGGACAATGGGAATAGAGCTGACCTGGAAGCTAGAGCTCTTCTCCCTTTTCTTCTTAACCTCCCTGGGGTGTGGAAAAACTGGGAGACTGGGAAGAAAACTTCTCTCTAAAAGAAGCCAGGCTGTAGGGAAGCGGGGAGGAGACGAAACCTGAACAGAAGTCCATGATGCTTTTCAAAAAAAAATTTTTTTTTTCTCAGTACTGGGGATTGAACTCAAGGACACTCTGCACTGAGCTACATCCCCAGCCCTTTTTACTTTTTATTTTGAGACACGGTCTCACTAAATTGCCCAGGTTGGCAAACATTCTACTTGAGCCTTTCAAGTAGTTGGGATTATTTTTTTTTTTTTTTTTTTTTTTTAGAGAGAGTGAGAGAGAGGGGGACAGAGAGAGAGAGAGAATTTTCCTTCCTAACATTTATTTATTCTTTCTTAGTTCTCGGCGGACACAACATCTTTGTTGGTATGTGGTGCTGCTGAGGATCGAACCCGGGCCGCACGCATGCCAGGCGAGCGCGCCACCGCTTGAGCCGCATCCCCAGCCCCAAGTAGTTGGGATTATAGGTGAGCGTAGTGCACCTGAAACTTTTCAATATCTTTTTTTCCCCCCTTGCAGTACTAGGGATTGAAGCCAGGTGTGCTTTAGCACTGAACAAGTTCCCAGCCCTTTTTTTGTTTTTAAATTTTGAGACAGGATCTTGCTAAATTGTCAGGAGTGGCCTGGAATTTGCTATCCTTCTACCTCAGACTTCCAAGTAGCTGGGATTACAGGTATGTATCATCACACTAGTTTTTCAATAATTTTAAGTGTGGGGAATAAGCTGAGTTTGGGGAACCCAAGGCTTGTGTGCACATGTTCACATCTATGTGGGCAAATATAGGTATATGCACTCAGACACCAACACAACTCATGCACACTTCCATCCATATTCACCATACACACATACATAGCACTTATTCACATTATATCTCATTATATAGCAAATGCATCCGTACACTTGCTCATACACTCTCATCCACACACACCCATGCTCAATACATGTTCCCTCCTAATCCTCTCCTTCCTCTATATCCAGCCCAGGAGAGTCCCAGGCAGCTATTCAAAATGATCTTGGATCTCTATTCATATCTCATGAGTAGCCACTAGCAGAGGTGAGTAGCTTCATAGTGTGCTGTGTGTGTTTTTAAGTAAAAGACATAGCTCAGAGAGATGATGTGGTAGGGATAGGGATAGGAGTTATCTCAAGATGTGATATGTGTCTCTCAGGGGTTAAATGTAGTGATGTGTGCATTCATTTATTCAATCATTTGCTCAACGAGGTTATGGAGGAGCCACCACGTTCCAAGTCCTTGGTTAAACAGTGAACCACCCAGGCACTGCTCCTGCTCATGATCTAATGGGCTCCAGAAAAGACAAGCCCTTAGGACACAGCTGGTAAATGCTACAATGGGGGAGTGCCCTGTGTGCTACGGGAGCTGAGAGCAAAACAAGTGACCAGCAAATGTACACAGAATGTGGTGTGTACCTTAGGGGGGCAAGTAAGGACATTGGTCTGGGGAGCATCCTCAGGATGCGAGCTGCAGGGCAGCAGGCAGGAACATTTTTGGATGAATGTGTGGACTGGGAGGTGTGAAGTGCTTGCATGTATGGCCTTGAGTGTGTATGGGAAGGGATGAGGTGTGTATCATTATCAGAATTATCAGAGCAAACCGGCTCCTTATTACGTGTATAATTTCCCTGTGTCCCATTGGGTCCTTCCGTGCAGAGGGAGCTGGAGTGGAACTAAACCAAATAGGAGATTTAGCAACTTGAAGGGGCTGCGGCAGAGCTTAAAGTGCTGCTGATGGATGGCGGTGGCAGGCAGGAAGGGAAGGGGGCGTCAGCAGTAATGGCAATAAGGAGAGAGGAGAAGAGGATGTTGTTTGGGCTGATAGCAGGTACCAATGCCTGGTACCCACTTCAGGTGGTCTGGAGATAACTCCAGGAACTGATAGTTCCCTGCAATAACCTGGAGGTGGGAAGTAAACTTGGGAGAGGGAGGACTCAGCCAAGCGCAGCCCAGTCCTGCCTGGGGTAGGAGGTTCCGGCCTGAGCACCTGGCTGCACAGCCTCCTCTCTTTCAGGACTATTTCTTATATCTCACATGTGGAAAATAATCTGGGAGTTTAGTGGAAAGAAATCATCTCATCTCAACATGGGATTCAAAGCTCACCTTTGCAGAAGGACCTTGGGCAAGTTACTTCTCAGAGTAGTGTCATCATTGGGAGAATACATTTGTGCTGCATGCATGTAGGATTGGACTGATGATCAGTGATAACAAAAACTGTCACCTAGTAAGCACTCTGAATGCTGGCATTTTAAAAAAAATTAGGTTTATTGAAAGATTCCTTGAAAAAGATACCACTCCCTTTCCGCTTCACTTCAACTCTGCATTCCCAAAATTATAGAGAATAATGGTGATAAGTTGGAACTACGGATGTGGTGGAGACAGACAACTTGGGCAACAACTTAACATTAGGCATCCAATGTTCCAAACAGAATGTGGAATCAGAGAAGGATTCCTTCTACTACCCTGGAATTGGATGCAAGCTAACTATTTCCATGATAGATAAGTTTTGCAACTTTGTGCCTTAATTGTATCTAATACGAATAATTCAAGAAATCTATGAGATGACACAAAATCAATCTCCCATGCACTATCTTCTATTCTAGAATGATGACTTTTTATTAAAGGTGTCGGACACCATCTACCTGCCAATTGATCTCCACCTCCCAACCCTTTAAGATTCAAACCCAACCCTGTTCCCTACCTGGGCCTGTGGAGACTGCCCCTTCTGCGTGCTCTGGAGCTAGAGAACTGTTTCTAAATAGCAGTGTTCATTTCTCTGCATGACCATCCAAGCACATTTCTTTCTCCGGTTTCTTTTTTCTTCCCTCTTCCACTTTATTTTTTTCTGTTTAGCCGAGTAACTTGCATTCATTGTAGGAAAGTATAAAAAAGCAGGAAAAAGAGGGGCTGAGGTTGTACCCTCAGCTGTATCCTCAGCTGAGACCTCTCTTCATTCCTACTTTTTCTGCTCTCTGCCATCACTGCAATCTGGCTTTTCCTGAAGCATGGCCCTGTCACCCAAAAGGTCTGAGACTAAGGATCCCAGAGCCCTGGAGGCTGCAGCAGGCTCATAGTTTCTCTTGCTGGATTGTTGCTACAGCCTAAATGCCAATCATCAGTTGCCATGGAAATCACCCAAACGAACTCCATTATGTCCCTGTCCTGCTCAAAACTATGGTGGCCAATTAAATACAAACTTCTCTGGCACTCAGGCAGGGTCTTGCTAAGCTAACCTCAAACCTACATTTGCAGACTCCTGAAATGATTTTTGTCCACCTTCACACAATGTCACCCCCGTGAAGAATCCATAGTTCTTCCCTCTTCTGCCTATCAGTGCTACCTACCTTCCCTCCTATCCTGTAGTTAAGGCCTCCTCTGGCCAAACCTTTCCTGATCACCCCTCCTAGCACAGGTATACCCCTTCCTTTGAGTTCTATGGGACTTCTTACTCCCCTCAGGGCATCAATCTTAGGCTGCCTGAGAGCATAATGATTTTTGTCAATTGAAGCATTAACTTATGTACAGTCAAGTGCAATCATTTTAAGTCAAATTTTTTCAGTACTGGGGATTAAATCCAGGGGAGACCTGCCACCCAGCCACATCCCCAGCCCTTTTTAATTTTTATTTTGAGACAAGATCATCTTGAACTTGTGATCCTCCTGCCTCGGCCACCCAAGTTGCTGGGATTATAGAGTGTGCCACTGTGCCTGGCTTACATGAAGTTAAATGGATTTTTACATGCACATATGCACACACACACACACACACACACACACATACACACACATACACAGTCACCTATAACCACATGAAAACATACATATATCTAGTATCCTAGCATTTCTTGCCTTTTCCCTTAGTATCTCCTATTTTATCTTCTATCATCGTGGGTTAATTTTGCCTTATACAACATGGATTAATTGAGCCTTGTATAAATGCATGATACAATATATACTCTTTGGTGTCCAAAGACATGCAACATTACATCTGTGAGATTTACCTATTATCTTGCATTCTTTAGTTGTTTATTCTTTTTTCCTTGCTTTGTAGTATTCCATTATGTCCCTGTCCTGCTCAAAACTATGGTTGAGAATATACCAAAATGTATTTGCCCATTCTATTGTTGATGGGCAAACTGGGTTGTCAGTTTGGGGTAATTACAAAATCAGCTTCTGTGAACATTCTTGTACATGACTTTTGCTGAATATAGCATTCATTTCTCAAGAGCATATACCCAGGAGCAGAACTGCTGAGGTGTAGGATATACATATGTTTACCTTGAGTAGCACTGCCAAACATTTGTCCCAAGTGATTCTTTGGACAACTTACACTTCTAGCATCGTCTGTGAGTTCTGGTTGCTCTAGCATTGTCAGTCTTTTTCATTTTAGCCACTCTAGCAGGTGTGATGGTTATTTCTTTCTATTTTATAAAAATAAATAATGATCTTTTCCACCTGTCAATCAACTACTTAGTCTCTATTGATTGCCTCTAATCCCAACAATTCTGGAAAGTAGGTATCCTCCTCTCTTTTCTCTTCCCTCCAAAAGTAGGCATTATTGAATTTTTTGAAAATTTCTTTTGGTTCTGAGGATCAAACCCAGGGCCTTGCATATGCTCTACAACTGAAATCCCCCAACCCAGCCCTTGAAAATAGGTATTATTATTTCTGCTTTACAAGAGGGGGTCTGGGCAACTAATAAGTTGAACAAAATGGTGTGGAATGGTAAGTAGAACCAGAATACAAATACAGAACTGTCTGACACCAAAGGACCTATTTGTCCAAATATGTCATCCTACCTCTCTCCTGCCACATAGTAGGGAGCAAGTGCCTTATTTATCCCCCTCAAAACACTCTGTAGTGCCTAAGTAAGATCCTCATAAAGGATTGTTAAAATAAATGAACTGTCCATGAAGAGGCTGTGCTTGGCAGCAGGCAAGGCAAAGAAGAGAGCTCTTGCAGCAGCACAGGCCCATGTGGGTATTCTAAACCCCTGTCACTGACTAGCTGCAGCTGAAATCAGGAGACCTGTTGTTTGAGAAGGAAAGAAGGATGGGAGACCATGCGTGGTGGTGCACTCCTGTAATCCCAATAACTTGACAGGAGCATGGCTATCCCAGTCACCCTGATTTGGCTATAATTACATGTGGGAGATGGTCAGTTCTCACTTTTGGGAGGCAGGAGAATCTCAGATTCAAGGATAACCTCAATAATTCAGCAAGGACCTAAGGAACTTAGCAAGACCCTGTCTCAATATAATAAAAAATTAAAAGGGCTGAGGATGTGGCTCAGTGGTTGAAGACCACTGGGTTCAATTCCCGGTACCAAAAAGAAAAAAAAAAAGGAAGGAAGGAAACAAGACCCCTGTCCTTAGTCAACATAGGCCTCATTTCCTCATCTGTAAAATGGAGATAATAATACTGTCCTAAATGAAAGAATGAGAAGCAGTGCTTTGTCATTTGCAAATAATAATTTTTAAATTGACAGACTTTTCTAATCAGCTCTTACCTGTGGAAGTTTATAAATTTTATGGATTCCAGGAGGCCAATCTTGGAGATCCAGGTTGGCTTGATTTGGGGTGGGCCCTGAGCATATAGATCTTTTTGATTTACATCAATCTCAGTTAAGGGTGAGAATATTTGGGGTGGGACCAGGGAAATACTTTTCCTGGTTCATCTTTCTGAGTGTGGAGACAGGGAAACACCTTTCAGGGAAGTCTTTTAATTAATTTTTTTGGTACCCAGGATTGAACTCAGAGGTGCTTAACCACTGAGCCACATAACCCCAGCCTTTACAATATATATATAAAGATACTGAGGCTGGCTTTGAACTTACAACCTTCTGCCTCAGCCTACAGAGCTGCTGGGATTACAGGCATGCACCACCACACTCCATCTTAGGGGAAGTCTTCTGTAAAGAATTTGGATCCACTGTAGGTTTTTAAATAAGGAAGGCCCACCACTGATGTCACACCCTGCCCACCTCAGGCCTGGAGTCTCAGGGGCAGGTTGTGGGGGGGCATGAATATATGCTTGGAAAAGGCAGGGAAATGAAAGCAAATGTTTCTGTATGAAGAGGAGGGGCCAGGAAGAACAAGAAGTCTGATCCATGGGGTTTGGGTTTATGCACTTCATCTCAAGAACAAACAAAAGTGTGGGTGCAGTGGTGCACACCTGTAATCCCAGCAACATGGGAGGTTGAAGCAGGAGAATCCCAGATTTGAGGCCAGCCTCAGCAACTTTGTGAGGCTTTCTGCAACTTAGAACCTTTCTCAAGGGCTGGGGATATAGCTCAACTGGGAGAATACTTGCCTTGCCTGCATAAGGCTCCAGGTTCAATCTCCAGCACCATAAAAAGGAAAAAAAAAAAAAAGGAACCTTTTTCAAAATGAAAAGGACTAGGGGTTATATCTCAATGGTAAAGAACCCCTGGGTTCAATCTGTGGTACAAAAAAGTTGGCTTCATATTTGGTTCCTTGAGGAGCATGGCTATCCCTGTCACCGTGATTTGGCCACAGTTACACGTGGGGGATGGTCAGTTCTACCTGCCCCTGACAGAGAGCTGGGGGTGAGGGAAGCACTTTAAAATATGGCCTGAGATCCAGCCAGTTTTCTTCCTATTAGCCCCCTCCCATATCCTGGGCCCACCAAGCTACTATCCATTTCTGAAAGGTCAGAGAGGGTTAGAGCAGGGCAAAGACCTACTCCCCTTCTGCCCAGGCCCCCAGGCCCACTGGGCTGCTCCCAGCCAAGGCCATGAGGCAAAATTCTTGGTCTTTCTTATACTTATGTAGGGAGGATCAGGGACTCCATGGTTCTAAGTTAGAGTCCCTGTGTGTCCCAGAGTGGGAGGGAGTAGAGATCCTGCTTTGGTCTAGAATAGCAGGTGGGAAGAGAAGAAGGGAAATAAAATAGAGGGCAGGATTAATGAAGTGGCTTCAAAAACTAATAGTGCATTTACCAACATCTCCTCCTCTGACTCTCCCGTTCCAGGGGAAGTTGGCCAGAGCCCCGAGGCAACCTGTTCACCTCCCAGTCTGCCTCTTAGGGATCCCAGGGCTGGAAAGAGGTAGGAAGTCTCTCTGGTTGAAGGAGATGCTCTCTCTTACACCCCAACCTCTGGAGATGATGTCAGCCCCCCACCCCCACCCCGTGACATGACGCACAGATCCATCCCTAAAGCTTCCCAGCTCCAGGTAATCAGTGGGAGGTAACTTACCTGACGGTGCTTTAGGGACAGTCTCTCCCCTCAAGCCCTGGCACCTTCCAGTTTCTTTCAGCTCATCACACGTCTTCCTCCTCCCAGGCCTCCTCCCTAGAAGCTGACCTGGAGCTGGATTCCCAAATAAACAGTAACTAATTGGATTAGAAGCTGATAATATTGTTGACCTTTCTTAATGTCTGCTGGCTGTCTTTCCACCACACTGAGGCTTAATTGTATGGGGTGGGGAGGAGGGTGGGGGACTTCCAGGAGTGAAACTTGACCCCTGTTAACCTCAGATAAAATGGGCTCAGCGTCTTCCCAACTGTCTGTCATCCCCCATGGAGCAGGAACACACACATGCTCCCACTCTCATCAAATAATTACACAGATGATACACACATGCATAGGCATGCACGCAGAGATCCAGACACTCCCAGAGGCACTTTGCATTCACACATGCGCACACATGACTTTAAACCTGTATCACATTTGCACAAATCACACTGGAATGATACACACACAAAATTACAAATGCTATAAGCAAGTATATGCATAAACATGATAGACAAAATGCAAGCCCAGAGATACATATAGACAAATGTAATTGTACATATGATACAAATGCATAATAGATGTACTATGAAAACACAGATACTTACACATGAAAGTAAAGACAGGCACACACTCATGCACTATACTTAAATAAAGGAGCACGCAAAATACATGATACATGAGCATGCACAGTATATGCATACCATTCACATACCTTTGCCCACTGGTGGACCTCAGAGCTGCCCACCTCCTGCCCCCATGTGCATGTAGGCAGTTTGCCCCCTTCTACACTCCAACTCTTTCGAAAGCTCTGCTGCTTTCATTTTCTGTGTGTTCCCGGGTTCCCTGAATATGTTTCTGGGATCCTGAGTTTATGGGCCTCTTGGAGTTCTGGCCCGGGCCCTCTTGAGTGTCTCCATCTCTCCATATCTCTGGGGCCCTGTCCCAGTGCGGATCTCTCTTATCCTGGCTGCTGTCGTTGAAAAGGACCTGGCTGGTAGGGTGGTGGGAGGGCATGACGAGAGATTAGAAGGGGAAGATTGCAGAGGGGATCCAGAAAGGGTGGAAAGGAGGTTGGGGGAGAGGGTTGGGAAAGAGGGGAGCGGCGAGGGGCGGGGAGCGAGGGGCGGGGGAGGGGCGCCTGCCTGCGCACAGCAGATGTTGCCGCTCCTCGGATGGAGCTGTTAATGTAAGTGGAGTTTCTGCAATGGTAATTAGGAGGGCCCTCATTACCCCGGCGGAGCCGGCTGAGAGCCGATAAAGCCGAGGGGGAGAGGGGCCGACATCAGGGTAATGGGGGAGTAGGGCCATTGAGGAGCTGGAGCCGAGCCGGGGACCGCTCCGCGCGCAGCTGGAGCCCAGCGAGAGGGCCGCGGAAGGGGGGCGCGGACCGGGCCCGAAGCCCGGGGAAGAACGCGGATGAGAGTGGCGAGGGGCGCAGCGGCTGGGTCTGCCCTGGGGCTTCATAACGCACTGCGCGGCAGAGGGCTTGGGAGTTGGCCCTGATCGACTGAGAGGAGCCGGCCAAGGAGGGCTCCCGGCCGGCCACCACGTCTGCCTCTGGTGCAGCCCTAGGTAGGGAAATCCACTGAGGCCTCTCTGGGTAAATGCACCCTGAGTGGCCAGACAGAGACGGGGCTAGAGGGTGAGAATATATCAGAAGGAACACCCTTCCCCTCTACAAGTCCTTCCCCTTGTGCAAGAGAGGGGAACCAGGACACCCATGACATAAACTCTAGAATAACCAAGACTTAAGTTAATGTCCAAATGGAAGGCTCCAGAATGTCAGGCCAGACTCTGAAGGAGACCAGCATGAAGAAGTGGAGGTATAAGCACTAATTCTTGCCTTCTTGGGGTTAAAGGCCAGTGCCCGCTCCTCCTCTTCTAGGTGGAATTTCCCTCTCATTCACTTCTGCACACACCACTGCCACCACCATCATCCCACCATCCAACCTTAGGGGAACTCCCCAAGCAATGAGAATACTGGAAACAAGTCCCAGCAGCCCTAAGCACCTTCCTTCCCTTCAGAGCTTTGCAGGAAGAGGAAGGAAAATGGAGAGAAACCCATGCCTAAAGCCTTGCTCCTCAGCCAGGGGCCAGGAGTCCCTCCCAAGATGGGAGTGGAGGTTGAGAGCCCACTTCGCTGTTTACCCTCCACACCCCTGAGTATTCCAGGATGAGCTCCAGAGCTTTTCCAAAGGCCAAGCAAGTGAGCCCAGTTTGTTCAGTCAACTGAGAGCCATCTCTATAGAATAGCCTATGTCCCCTTCTCCTCTTACTCCCACTGCTCCAGGCCAGAGGACTTAGGGAGGCTCCTAATATGCAAGGAACCTGGAGCCAAGGCAGAGAGGGAGATGGGGGGGGGGTCTTTATAGGCAATGTAAGGGCCCACTACCACCTTCTTTTATCCCTTCCTCACACAGCACCCCAGCCACCACCTACAGCACCTTCAGAAACCCAAGGTCACTGACCCCTGCCAGTCTAGTTTACCAACCTCTCAAGGACTACTTAAGCCCTTCCATGGGGGAAAGGGTAGAACAGAGAGAGCTGCTGCGTTTCCTTCAGGCTTTGGGGAGGGAAAATGAAAGTCCTGCCACTGCCCACCACAAAGATAAGTGCATCTCCCAGATGACTGAAGGGACAGAGTGTCTCAAGAGAGCAGGGCTGTGTGGGACACCCCACGTGGCAGCTGTGTGGCAGAGCAGGGGTTAACAGGGAGAGGCTGCAAGGCTGGAGCAGGCAGTGGCTCCCGCCTCCCCCTACCCCAAGAGTTGCTGACTCTTCCTTTTTGTTCGGGCTGACAGCGAGCACCTGGTGTGCTCCTGCTACAATATTGCTCCTGCCTCC